AACAGTATGGGCACAACTTTAAAGGGCCACATATCGTGCTACACAATGTCCACCCAGACGTTGCTCTCAAGGACTTCAGTGAATTCAGCACGAAAGTCAGGGAAATTTCCATAGAAGTCAGGTAGCTGTAGGAACATTCCACATGTCCATCCAATTGGACGTCTTGTGAAATCAGTCATTTCTGTAAATTCAACAGTGACAGTGTCTGACACAATCATATCAGACCCTGTGCAGAATCTCAGAAACTTCCCAAGTTTTTCTTCATCCAGTTCCCTGATATACCTTCTGAGATGATGTTCAACCTCTTTTTGCTTTGCCCTCATATCCGCTGGGAACTTCAACAGCCTTAACACCTTTTTAGATGTGGGTTTAAGATCAGCATAAATCTTTGTCAGCTTCTCATAATTCAGACTGATCTGTGATTGGGTGATCTCCCTCCAACAATCAATAACAAACATTGGATTTTGAACAAGTTCTTTGTGGGAAATTTCCATCAGAATTACTGGAAGGGTGTCTGCTGAGGCTTTTCTTCTACATTCATAGTTATCGAGGACCTCCAACAGGTCATCAGGATCAACCAAGGAGAAATCTTGTAAAGCTTGCCTGAGGATCTCTCGTTCTTGGCAGCTTACAAACTGAAGAAAGGCTTCTGTCAGATCACTGTACACTGCTCCAAATAACATCTCCTCAACTAAAGGAGGTGCAAGCTTGATAGGAAGGTAGTGTCTTTGTATCCTCTCAGTAAAATTCTGCCGATGGCTTTCCAAGTGTCAGCCTTGAAATCATGTCTGATGAAGGGTACTTTCATTGTTGTCCCGAGTGTGCAACGATCATAGAATTCTTGCCAAAATGCACTTTAGACATCTCTCAGAACCCCTGACCCGCTTCCTCAGAATTATCTGGGAGTAATCGTCTCACTGCCAGTGGTCTGGTCAGAGTCTCGGGATCAGAAAATGCTTCAACTGTGTCACTGAAACCATTTGCATGGTGTATAGTAATCAGTTTTGTTTGAGGGGTGCTGTCAGGTAGAGGCATCTTCATCTGATTGTGGTTTGGGCTGAGTGGCAATGTAGAAACACAGCTTGGATAGTTTGACTGTTTCATAAATTTTGCCAATTGAGAGATCTTCAGAAAAAGAGTTTTGTTTAAAGTCCCATACATATAAAGTGAAGTCTGATTCATGGCCTTTACTTGAAACACCATTTGAACCAATGAAATTTCATTAAATCCACTATTGATGTCCATAAAAACCTTTGTCTGTGAAGATTCTCAGTCATCCAGGTCATAGTTATCCAACAAAGGTTAAAGTCAAGGGCAACTGGACTTGGTTGAATATACTGGAAGACGTTTCATCCCTCATCCAAGGGACTTCTTCAATTCTGACTGACTGGTAGGGAAACTCAGCTATTTAACCTCAGTGGGGTCGTTTGCTAGGATCGTCGATACTGCTGGTTCCTTAGTGTTCCTGGTTGTTGTAACGACAGCCGTTACGGTCGTTAGGACTACCCATGGCCAAGACTGTCGTTGGTATCTTCACCTGAGGCTAATAGGTTACGTTTGTTGAGTTTCCTGGGAAGCGATGAAAGGACGGCATTGTAAGTGGGTGATAAGTGGTGGCGTAGACCCCCTCCCCTGTAGATGGCTTCCTTGACACCTCTTTCAAACCATCCATCTTCTCTAACTAAAATGTGCACCTGGTGGTCCTCAAACGAGTGTCCTCTGTCTTTCAGATGTAAGTAGACTGCAGAGTCTTGACCTGAGGAGTTGGCCCTTCTGTGTTGAGCCATGCGTTTGTGTAGTGGTTGTTTAGTCTCCCCAATATACAGGTCTGTGCATTCCTGACTGCATTGGACCGCATACACTAGATTGCTTTTCTTGTGTTTGGGTGTGCAGTCTTTGGGGTGTACCAGTATCTGTCTTAGTGTGTTCTTGGGTTTTGAAAAACACAGGGATGTTGTGTTTGTTGAAAATCCTCCTGAGTTTCTCTGATACTCCAGACACGTATGGAATCACAATGTTGTTGCGTTTGACCTGCTTTTCTTCATCCCTTGTAGTTTTGTTCTTCTTGGATCTTGTGGCTGTCTTCACAAAGGTCCATTTAGGGTATCCACAGGCTGTAAGTGCCCCCTTCAGGTGGTTCTGTTCCTTCTCTCTGGCTTGGGCGCTTGTTGGTATGTTTTCCGCTCTGTGGTGCAGCGTTCTCAGACCCCTAGCTTGTGCTCCAGTGGGTGGTGTGAATCGAAGAGTAGGTATAGGTCTGTGTGGGTGGGTTTTCTGTAAACCCCAGTCTGCAGGCTCCTGTCCTCTTCAATGTGTACAGCGCAGTCCAAGAAGGCCAAACTGTTGTTGTGAACATCTTCTCATGTGAACTTGATATTACTGTCCACAGAGTTGATGTGTTCTGTGAAGGCTTGCACTTCCTGGCTTTTGACCCAGGTGTCGTCCATATCTGTACCAGTGGCTCGGTGCTGTTCCTCTGAAGGAGTTGAGGGCTTTGTTCTCCACTTCTTCCATGCAGATATTTGCCACAATCGGGGATACCGGTGAGCCCATGGCACAGCCATGTTTCTGTCTGTAGAATCCTCCGTTGTACTGGAAGTAGGTGGTGTTTAGACAGAGGTCGAGTAATTTACAGATCTGGTCAGGGCTGAGGCTAGTTCTGTTGTCCAGGGTTTTGTCTTGTGTTAGCCGTTTCCTAACGGTTTCTACTGCCTCTATGGTGGGGATGCAGGTGAACCAATAAGTCACGTCATAGGATACCATGGTTTCATCTGGGTCCAGTTTTAGTCCTCGAACTTTGTTTACAAAGTCAATGGAGTTTTGAATGTGGTGAGGCATGTTTCCCACCAAAGGACCTAAGATGGTAGCAATGTGTTTGGCAATGTTGTAGGTGACCGAGATAATGCTGCTGATAATCGGCCTGAGTGGGGCTCCTTCTTTGTGTATCTTGGGTAGTCCATAAATGCATGGAATGGCTTCTCCAGGATACAAACGGTAATATTGTTCATGGTTGATGGTGTTGTCTTTCTGTAGCTGTTGTAGACATTCTATGGCCTTTTTCTTGAATCGCTGGTTGGGTCTCGTCTCAGTGTCTCATATGGGTTTGTGTCCATTAGTAGTGTGTTGACTTTGTTCTGGTAGTCCGCTGTGTTAAGGACTACCGTGCATCTTCCTTTGTCAGCAGGTAGGATAGTGATGTTTTGATCCTTGCTCAGAGATGTCATAGCCATAACAACCTTTCTAGTGCCCCCTCCTTGTTTTGCTCTAACCTGTTTAGTTTCACATTTGTCTTGGTGTATCCAACCTATCTCAATAGTCCGTGTAGTTTGCCTTCGTCCGGTTTAGCGGTTTGAGGCTCCTCTTGCTTTTCAAGAAGACCCATTTTTCGCTTTGAGACAGGCTTTTGATGTCTGCAAAAATTGAAAAGTGCAATTCTGTCTCCATATGAAGGAATTTATTTGGCCAAAGCTGAATCGTCCATAAGCAGGATGACATCTATGTCGATCTGTGAAACAAAGGAAAACCATAATAAGGGAGAAAAAATACAAATCGACCAAAGAACAGCACAACATTAGTCTATTATTTGTTACTGTACTGGACTCTACAGGAAGCTCCATATTTAAGCTCCATCTAATTACTTTGGATATGAAATTACACAAAGCTTTGTCATTATAATGCCAATTACCAGTTTTAATTTTAGCCATATTATAATTATCAGTTTAATAATTATAGCCTATTTATGATCCATTTCAGGGGTCCAAAATTATCTTCATAAAGTAAATTATTTTGTAGTTATAATTTTGTCATTCTTTCTATTTGTGCAAGAATTTAGTGAGGTCTGCAACCCATTCACATCACTCTTGATAACTTATTCAGGTGCTCCTGCATGTGGCATGTCAGTGTATCTGTAAGTAATCAGCTGACTCTGCTTGACTCTATATGATCACACTATACTGCTGTATAGGATCAGTAAAGGGTCAATGTTATAAAAATCAACCTTGAATTCACACTAGAACTAATTGTATTGTGCAAACCATTCCCATCAAACACAGACAGATTGAAGAAAATGCTTTTTACGAATTTAAGTTGATTATTGACACAGGCCTGGAAACAGCCACTGATGTTATTTATGTCAATTCAATTCAATTCAAATTAGCTTTATTGGCATGAATGTGTAAGAACAATATTGCCAAAGTATCATACATATAACATAAGAACAATCAACCCCATACATTTCATTAAACAAGTAATTAAACCGTAAAGTAATCAAAGCGCATGTGTTTGTGTTTAAAAAAAAAGAATAAATATTAAAAATTAAAATAAATAAAACAGTAAGTGTGTGTTTGTGTGTGTGTTAAAAAATATAAATAAAATATTTTAAACAAAAATATATATACATAAAATTAAAATAAAACAAATAAATGAAACAGTAACGTGTGTGTGTGTGTGTGTGTATATATATATATATATATATATATTAATAGACAAAATAATTAATTGATTAAAAAAATAATATCTGTACAATTATTTATCAGCCTGAGGTTCCAATGGTTCTCCTCACTTCATGGCATGAGCAGACATATTTTTCAGCAATTATTTCACATTTGGGCATTTCTCCCAGTAAATAGGGGAGTTTCTATGTGTCTGATATGAATTCGAATTCGGGGTATATTTGGGAAATGTTTGCATTTGTTTTATATTTGGGGCATGAGGTTACGCACCTCCGTCTCTACCTGTCTCCTGTCACACTGGGAGCAGAGTCTCTCCTCTTGTAGACTTGTGTAGAGAGCCAGGACCAGATTATAAGTAAATACCAAAAATAATCTGTCACGGTGACTAACATTTTTGCCAGGTACAGGGAACCGGTGTTCTAGCGAATAATGGTCCTTGATATAACATTCGCAAGAGGTTCACATGATATAGTAGTTTATAGTTCAATGGTAACATATTAATGTCAAGCATAAATAAATAGGCTTTACGTTATTTATTTATGTGGCTTTGTCTTACAGTTAAGAATAAGGTAGCATCTCCTCAAAAACTCACTTTTACACTCCAAGGATGTAGCCTAACCCGTGCCTATGGTGTTGCGCACATGGCAGCTGGCATAGCGGACAATCGCTCCAACGTGATCTGATGGACTAAAGGAGTTTACTTTATTCTCAACATGTTGACTTTATTCACGACATTTTGACTTTATTCTCGAAATAGTGCTTCTACTTTATTCTCGACATGTTGACTTTATTCTCGAAATGCAAAATAAATAAAAAAATCTTCAAACTAAATTTTTTTTCTTAATGTGGCCCTAATACTCCGTCGTAATTTAAGGCCTGGGGACCTTTACTAAATGTTTGTCGCGACGGAGGTTTGAACCCCGGACCTGCTGAAAAGCGATGACACCGCCACTAGTTTGTGTTACTGCCCCTGCATGCTGGTAGGATATGTAATGATTTCGTTTTGTGCTACTTGTGTTCGTGTGTAGTTATGCTGCTGTGACTTGCCAAAACCCAGAAACAGAGAAACAAGACTCAAAATACAGAGACGACACGGCCAAAATAATACAAACACAGACAAACTCAGGACAGGATCGTGACACTATTTACAATATTTTTGTTGTTGTTGTCGTTCTCTTAAAAAGTAATATTTGTGAGTCTTCTGACCTAAAACAGATACCTTTTCACCTGCAGGTTTGTATGTTGTGTCATGGTAGCAATTCCTTTTGCGGCTACCCTGTTTACAGCTATGACAAGGTGGCAACAGGACAGAGAGGTCAGCCCAACAGCAGAATCTTCGTCTTTGAACACTGGTCTCAACCTTTATGGGACCCTGAAGGCCTACTGTGGATCATATGTTGACACTCTACAGAGTATACATTAAACAACCTGGGTATGACAAGACTCACTGCCACTTCCTCACTCAATCTGCAAGTCATTCATTTACTCATATTCTTATGTTGCATTGCATTTATTGCAGATAACTACAAAAACTGGAAGGTGCCAGTTTTAGCTCTTTCTACAGCAGCTTTTGTGTTCTAGGGGTCTGCTTAGTGCAAGGTCTCTGCTGGGCTCCATCAACAGAGCTGAAGACAAACTGAGCATCAGTTTGGTGGCCAACTATCTTTTCAAGAGGATTAAAAGGTACAGTATGATGATAATTTCAACAAATTAAGTTATAGCAATAAAAACAGATTTAGAAGCTCTTCTTTGTGCTGACGTGCTGCGGTAAGTGACTCATTTCCGTTTCCGGTGCTTATGTGTTGGTAGCGTGTTTTGCTGCTCCAACTAAACACCAAATACCAGTTAAATTTGTTAGATTTGACATTACAGCGGCTAACTGCGCCAAACACTCATCCTCACAGTAGTTCTGCCTAAGCACTCACAGTTCTTTCCATCTTTTAGTGACTCTCGTTAAATTTCGTAGTTGCTTTCGAAAGTTTTGCAAACATGACGGTGCTCTCCAAGACCTTCTCAGAGCCATCTTACTCCCTACACAGATAGTAGTAATAAAATGCAAAGGATACCAAAACTCAACCTCACCTGTAGCTAAAGGAAATGATGCAGCAGACAAAGCATCTAAACAAGCAGGAGGTTATAACAGACAATTGATATGTCTACAGACAGAGAACAGCCCCAAACTAACCAAAGAACACATACAGAGAATGCAAGAACAGGCAGGCCCCTATGAACAAAATCAGTGGCTTTCAAAAGGCGCAAAACAAACAGATGAAGGTATTTGGAGAACATGTGATGGTCATTTGGTGGCACCTGCAGAACTCAGTCATTTGTTAATTAAAGAAGCCCATGGGCCCACCCATGTTGGTTGAAAAAGAACCACTAAAGAAGTGGAGATTCATTGGTGGTATCCTTACATGAAAGTAGAAAACTTTGTTAACGACTGTGGGAAATGCAATGCTTTCTATGACAGGAGACCTTACAAATGTCCAATGGGACGTTTCCCGTTCCAGATGCTCCATTTAAAGAAATCTGTATAGACTTCACAGACATGGGGGCAGATAATGTAGTAAGAGGGCACAGATACATTTTGGTTATGGTAGACTTTTACACCAAATGGATTAAAGCTATCCCATGTAAAAAAAGAAGACGCACACGCAAGAATTGGTGAAGGGAGCTAACCAAACATTGAAAAGAAAAATTGCCAAAGCCTGTCATAACACCATAATGAACTGGGTAGATGCACTGCCCCTGGCACTAATGTCCATGGGAACATCACAGAGTGGCAAAACTCACCTGTCTCCCCACGAGTTGTTGACAGGCAGGCCAATGCCAGGGCCACCCAGAGATGGAGGTCTGGGTCCAGTGTTGGACTTACGGCTGATAGAAGTAGGAGATTATATGAAGGCCCTTGCTAAACTTACTCGAGTTTTGTCTTCACAGGTCCAAACTGCTACCAAAGCACCGCGGAACAAAACAGAGACTCCTGCTGGGTCTGGAGAATGGGTGTGGGTGAAAGTTCACAAGAGAAAGTGGGCTGAACCCAGGTGGACAGGACCGTGGGAAGTGATTTGGCACCACCTTACACATTGTACACCCGCTCAAGCCCCCTCCTGATCAATAGAGGAGGTTAGAACTGATTTGGCCACGCTGTGAACAAAAATAGATTTTTGATTGGCATTATGAATTAGGATTATACACAGCAGATCCAGGAAATTTGACTCTGGTAGTTTACTTAAAACTGAATCATTCTTTGTTTATATTTTTTTATTTATTGTTTTTGTTTGTTTAGTTTTTCCTTCCACATTTACTGAAAACTCAATCATTCTTTGTTTATATTTTTTATTTATTGTTTTTGTTTGTTTAGTTTTTCCTTCCACATTTACTGAAAACTCAATCATTCTTTGTTTTTATTTTATTTATTTATTGTTTTTGTTTGTTTTCTTTTTTCTTCCACATTTACCTCATTTGATTTGAATCAGTTTCACCAGTAAAACAAACAAAAAATAAATAAATCAAGATGAAGAGTCAGATAGAGAGGTCAGAGAAGAGGAAGATGATTTCTTTGCTTAAATCACGATTTGATTTTACAACTTCTGTTTTGTTAAAATATCTACATTTTCGGTGTCATACTTTGATGTGTATAATGTTTTAATCTTCAATGACATAGTTGTAGATATGTGAAGTCTAATAGTGATTTGAAGTTGGAACGAAGTTGACCATAATGATGTGAAAGGAGGGATTGTTGAGTTTTAAAAAGTTACAACAAAACTTAATGTGTTTCAGTGTTTTCCTTCAAATGTAAACCTGCTGGGTTTTAGGCCAAACGATTGCATCAGAATGTTGATTAAACCATTGTTTGTATCCTCTTTGTAATGTGAAGAAAACTGACACCTCTTTGTTTAGTGCCAGAAGGACTGTTTTGTTTTAACTGTTTCATTGACACTTAAGATAGGGTGTCAGCCATTTTGTAGACAAGCCCTGTTGTTCTCTATGATTAGTTTAGAGCAAAAGACTGATTATTCCTGTAGATTGAAGGGGGTTTCACGTCTGGGATCGGCGTAACTCTGAATACAATAATGGTACACCCTTCCTAATTGGATGACGAAGAAACCAACCAACGACCAATGACTATGGACCTAAGCCATGCGGAGGAAAAAGGACCCGCCACATACCTGGAGGATATAAACAACTCATTATGAGATAATCGGGACTGTAAGCTGTAAATCTGAAAAGAGGAACAACTTTCCAGTCCACTGCAGAGTTTTTGTTTTATGTTTGTTCTGTAATGCCATCTTTTATTCACCTATTTTTTAAATAAAATTTTCTTGTCAATTTTCATCGGATCCAGCCTCTCCTTTCTCAAAATCTGAAAAAACGCAACAGCTAACACTACCGTACTGTAGCTTAGATGTTAGCGACTTTAGCTTAGCAGCTAGCGATGGCTTCTCTTTCTCCTCCCCTGCTCTCTCCTGCTCGGTGTGTAAGATGTTCAATTACTCATCTGCCTCCTTTAGCGGTAATGGTGCGTGTAACAAGTGTAGTTTATTTGTAGACATGGAGGCAAGGCTTAGTGAGTTAGAAGTCCGGCTCCGCACCTTGGCAGATCAGTCGTTAGCTACTGTAGCTATCCAGCTCCCGGTAGTCGGTGCAGACCGACCTGAGTAAGCCTCTGATTGCTGTCCCCGGCATCTCCTGAGCAGCCAGGAAAGGGTGGCTGGTGACTGTCTGAAACAGTCGTAAGCATTCAAAGTCCATGGGTCACCACCAACCTGCTCACGTTTCTAAGAGATTTTCCTCACTCAGTGCCACACCTGCTATTGGCACCTCCATTATAATGACTCCTGGTTATCGGAGGTCACTAAGATTAATGTTAAATCGGTGTGTACATATGAAAAAAACAATGTCGGACACCGTAGTTTTCTCTGGACCCCTGCCAAATCTTACCAGTAATGAAGTGTCCAGCAAACGATGTGGGCTGTTACCCACCCAAAACCCTAACTAGTCAAACACATTTCTCTGCTCCTCCATTTCAGGAGTTACCTAGCCAAAACCCCGTAGTGAAGGTGTCTGCCCCCCAACCATTGAAATTATTTAAATCAAAGGTAAACAGAAGAGGAGCAGTGCATAAAAACCTTGTAAAATTTAAAATAGTCCAAAAGAATAGGAGAATTCAGTGTGCACTCTTAAACATCAGATCCATCTCTTTTAAATGAATTAATATCATATTATTCTTACTGAAACCTGGCTGGGTGATGGAGAATTTGTTAGCCTAAATGGATCCACTCCTCCCAGTCATATACTCACATTCCTCGAGGCACAGGCCGAGGAGGTGGAGTTGCAGCTATTTTCGACTCTAGTCTTCTAATCAGCTATAAACCTAAACTAAATTATAACTTATTTAAAGGTTCAGTGTGTAATATTTCTAAGGATCTATTGACAGAAATACAATACAATATCCATAACTATATTTTTATTGGTGTATAAAGACCTTACCATTATGTTTTTATTACCTTAGAATGGACAAAACAGCGCCACAGAGCGCGTCCCATCATCACGGCTTTCTTCTTCTGCTTGTATAATTCCGGTAGTGTAGATGCCCGTCACTACATTGAATATGTACAAAGAAGAAGAAGAGGAAATAATAACAGTAATATACAGTCTCTGAGTAGTCTTCTGGTTTATTAGAAGAGAAGTGACATCTGGACAAATGAAGGAGTACACACGTTATTTAGCACGAGAGCCAACAGCCTGTGGATCTTTATACCATGAAGCCAGACGAGTCGGGACAGATACAAACAGCTGACGGCAGAAATCACGGATGTTGTGGATTTTCCCAGATGGAAGGCTATAATGTGGGACAGATTGTGCTGCTCAGAGCAGTGCTGAAGTTGTCTGTTTTCTGCTTAGCAATGCAAAAGAAAGCTGTTGTTTGATAGCTTTAGCTATTAGCTGGCCATAATCACGAGAGACTTGACATGTTTCCCCTGTTAGTGGTGTGAAATATGGATTCATTTCATGTCGCCTACTTATTCTCCAGCCTGTGGTTTGGCTTAGCAGGTTATGGTTACCTTTGCGAGACAATCAGCTGATCAGTAACATTAATTGCCAATAAAACCATAATGTTAGCTTAGAGCATGGAAGCATTAGCCAGCTAAACTTTTACAGCACTGGTAGAAAAATATGTAACATTAGTTGGATTGGTTTATTCTCCAGCGCTGGCTTTTGCTTGTGGTGTAAACTTCATGTAGTTTCTTTCTCTCTCTCTCTCTCTCTCTCTCTCTCTCTCTCTCTCTCTCTCTCTCTCTCTCTGGGCTTTGTCTGTTATGTTTGTGAGACAATCAGCTGATCACTAATTGGCAATTAAACCGCAGCTTCCAGTATGGGAAGCTCAGATCGGCCAGCTAAACCTTTACTGCGCGTAGAAAAAATATGTAGTTGGATTGTAATTTCATGTAGTTATTCTCCAGCGCTCTGTTTGGCTTTGTTACATGGACAGAAATGTGCCCTTACCTTCCTGAGACAAACAGCTGATGAATATTATTGGCAATAAAACGGTAACAGCAGAGAAGCTCAGATCAGCAGCTAAACTTCACATTTTACTGCCCTGGTGGAAAACATGTATTTCTTTTTACTGCTAATGGTGATATATAACAAGACCGTGTGCCTATCAAGTGACCAATAATGAATACTTTACAAATTTGCATTAAAAATTAAAAAATTAAAAAGAAGCATGTTTTTTAGCATATTGCTTCCCCACTGTGCACACAATGTGTAATTTGTACTTTCAATTAATGCTAAATGGCCATTAAAAACATTGAACCATTTTAAAACAAGCTGAAATTATGGCTGTCAGTACTACTTTGTGTTTCTGTTTTATTTCAAAAAAAAAAAAAAAAAACATTTTGGTAATATTTGAATTTCTTCATCAGTGTGAGAGCTGTAGCTCTTTATTATTATTATTCCGCCGTTTTTTGGCATGTATCATCTCTTGTACCGTTTGTCCTACAAACTTGGTTTCAACTTCAAATTGTACATCTTCTTCATGAGATGGTGCTATTACCTGTGTAGCTGATATCTGTAATGGTTGATTTTATATTAATATTTTTATGCATTTTTAAATGAATGGGTTCCGATGAGACTCCTCTTCCAACCTGGTGGGGGTGGAGCTAGACTCCCATGATGCGTGGTGGTGAAGAAAGTTTTGTTAAAATTTGCTAATAAGTCTCCTATTTGTTTGAAATATGTTGAGTTTTAAAAAGTTACAACAAAACTTAATGTACTCCAGTGTTTCAGTGCTTTCTTCAAATGTAAACCTGCTGGGTTTTAGGCCAGACAATTTCATTAGAATGTTGATTAAACCATTGTTTGTATCCTCTTTGTAATGTAAAGAAAACTGACACCTCTTTGTTTAGTGCCAGAAGGACAGTTTTTTGACTGTTTCATTGACACTTAAGACAGGGTGTTAACCATTTTGTAGACAAGCCCTGTTGTTCTCCATGATTAGTTTAGAGCAAAAGACTGTTTATTCCTGTAGATTGAAGGGGGTTTCACGTCTGGGAATTGGCGCTCTTTTGTTCGACCAAAAGTACCATAGAGCAGTAAGGTACACCCTTCCTAATTGGGTGACGAAGAAGTAACCAAATGACCAATGGCTTTGGTCCTGAGCCATTTGAAGGAAAAACCCGCCCACATACCTGGAGGATATTAACAATTAGTTTGTGAGAATCGGACTGTAAGCTGTAAATCTGAAAAGAGGAACAACTTTCCAGTCCACTGCAGTGTTTTTGTTTTGTTGTTTGTTCTGTAATGCCATCTTTTATTCACCTATTTTTTTATTAAATTTTCTTGTTAATTTTCATTGAACTGAGCCTCTCCTTTCTCAAAATTTGAAAAAACGCAACAATTGGTGACCCCGACGTGATTTTGAGAAAAGGAGGACAGGACAAAACTTCAGCCGGAGAAGGACGACTGCCTGATTCTCACACGGGCCCAAATATCGAAAGGTAAGAACAGAGACCTGTTTTATCAAAACTCTGTATAGGTTATATAGGAGATTTTAGGTGTGAGAATCAAGCAGCGTCTACTCCGTAAGTCCGTTAATATTTTAAAGTGATTTAAAGTGAAAATACCGATTGTTAAATATCATTCGAGATGGCAATATAGAACAATAGTATGTTATTGTTTGTCTGAAGCTTAAAAGCCTGTATGAAGGTCCATGGTATGTTATTGTTTGTCTGAAGCTTAAAAGCCTGTATGAAGGTCCATGGTATGTTATTGGTTATTTAAAGCTTAAAAGCCTGTATGAAGGTCCATGGTAAATAGTGCACATTAGAAGTCCGTGGCGGACGGCCTGGTTAGACCCAGTTAAATTTTAAATAGAAAGACCGTGGGGCCGGCGACAGAGACAGTCTCTGTGAGGCACGAAGGCGGGAATAAGTCTTTTTGAAAAAGCCAGGGTGAAGCCCTGTGAGGGAGTAGGGGTTGGTAAACGGGAAGCGCGGTGACGACGGCTTCTTAGTCCCATACAAAGACCTCTCATTTTCTGCCTTTGTGATCCTAGAGGTAAAAAATAAAACCTGTATGTAGGTCGAGAATTCTCTGAATTTTTCGGAGTCTTTCGGGAGTATAGAAAACAGTAGCGCCGTCTACCTATTTTTGCGCTACCTAGAGTTTCGAAAATTCAGGGTTTTTTCGGGGGTACAGAAGGGAGAAGCGCAGTCTTGTTCCTTTTGTATCGCCTAGTATTAAGTGTGAAAAACCTGTATGAAGGTTCGGTACCTTCCGAGGTCCGAGGTCACAAGAGTGAGCCTAGTATTGTGTGTGAAAATAGGTATCAATTGAATATAGGTCTGTACATACTGTAAATAAGTAAAAACTTTGTAAATAAGGATTGTTTGCATTGAAATCAGGAGTCAAAAGGAGTGAAACAAAGCAGTGTTTCAAATAACTGTTCTGTGGTGACTGAGCAATGTTTTGTTTTGTTTGTGTTTTGAAAAAACTTTGTTGAGATATTGGTTGATACAGATATTCAACTCTTATTGACTCTCTCATGACTGCTTCTGAGGTGAATTAAGTTGAAAGCAATCAGTACCTTGAGTTCTATTTTTATTTTATTTTTGCATAGGGTAAAAACAAACAAACAAACAAAAAAACACCATAAA